AATATAGACAATGAAATCATACCAAGTATTCCCAAACACAATAGCTCCTTTCGGGATAAAATAGCCATCGACGACATCATCCTCAGTAACCGCATGGGCCACCCCCATGGGTACAAGAGGATGCCATCGCATAACCTCTTTATACAACGCAACAGTATATGGGAGGGATGCCTTGTCCTCAAATTCGACAAGTCGAGTCCCACCGAGGAGGCTGTCCAATTCAGCCTGAGCCTTTTTCTGTGCGTCAGGGAATAACACCATGGTGAGCATGAAGGTTTTCAGGGTGTTTGAGGTCTGAAATGATAATAATAGTTGTTTCCTCGCTTAGAGATAAGGGATTTGGGAGGGATTTGATAATACCCACCGTATCAGCACCTCCAGCGTAGACGACGGCTGCGGTATTTTTGATAATCTCCTCAGCATCCGAAGGTGCATCCTGCTCGGCAGCTAGAGCTTCAAGGTGGTCAGAGGCGAAAGAGGGTTCCACTGTCCCCTCTGCCTATAAGTTAAATAAAGGTTCTATCAGGCATTCTTTTCCTACATGAAGGTATTTACTTACCATCGTCGACTTGACATGCTCAAATGGCAGGTCTCTCATATTGACACCATATTGTTTCCATATTTTCGCTTGTTTCCGGAATGAGGCACCAGGGAACCATTCTGGGATATATTTCACTGCGATAAGTAGGCGGTCTCCCATTAGCGAGGATACGATACATGATTATGAGGTTCATAGTGCTTACGCATGGGGATCACATCGACAATAAATCGACCCGGCACGGCGGCTTCGCTGCCAGCTTTCAACGCTTTCTCTGCTCTATGGATGTATGGATCGTTTTCTGGTTTTACGTGTATCCCATATGTAATCTGATAGCACATAAATTGATAATTAAATGTGGAAAACATAACATGCACAGTTAGTTACTTACCTCCATGATTATAGCCGCAGCCGAGTGTTGAATATGCTTTAAAAAGTTTTCAGGCGTGGTAAGGAAACGTCGCAGGATGTCTCTAAAGTTGCGCACAAAAACAAATAAATAACGGTTCCATAATCGAATCTTAAGACCGCATACGTACCTCGTGTGTTTGATTTGAATAGGCTTGTACACATCAGTGGCAGCAGGATGGAATTTCTCATGCATCACCCGTCGATGCCGACGCCACCAGTCGCCGTAACGTTGGAACGTCATGACCCAGCCAAATTCCATTCTGATTTACTCATATTAGCGGTGGTGTGGAATGCGATTGAGTTGTTGATACGCACAGATCGACAACCATGGGAAACGTTGTTCTATCCGAATAGATAGAAGAACGTCTTTCAAAGCATTCGTATACCAATCGACGAGAGCTGAGGAAGATAATTGGTGTTCCTAACACATCCAGGTAGAAAATCTCTCCTAACATATCCTTCCATTTCTACACACCATAAACCGAGGGTTGTGATAGAATCTCACCGTATTGCTTTGCCCACTTGGAATATGTCTCCCATTCGTAATGCTTTGGCATGTCTAGTGCGTTGCCGATGAGGGGAAGCCTAGGAGGCCCGGGGGGTAGACGAAGCCCTGTGGATATTCATTAAGGCCAAGAGATTAATCGGAGCAACTCACCTTTAGAAACCTTTCGTTTGGTCCATATCTTAATTATAACGAGAAAAGCTCCAAAGAGCAATAATTCCTCGAGAAGACCAGGCATTTCGGTTGGAAGTCGTGGGGATGGCCCTCTTTCTTATATCATCCGCTACGTCTTTTCAGTACCTCGGTCCGAATACAACCCGGCATACCCACTTCGATGTCAAAGAAAAAGGGGGCTTGTCATTCAGTCATTACCGCTCGGTAAGCAGACGAAGAACATGGTTATACCAAAGCAGTGTTGGGTGGGAGATCCGAAGGAACTGGTGTCATCTGGAAGTTCCGATTGCGTAGCCGGGCTGAGATATGAATTATGAATTATCATTGCAATTATGACAGCCGTCTATCGCTTTCCCCGAGTGGTTGATTTCTTGTGTATGGAAGGAAGTAAGCAGCATAAAGATAAAAATAAACGTAATTCCTAATCATTGATAGTGTTAGTGAAGCATCAATCTTTCAATCTTCTTTAGTTGGGGGTGCTTTGACTTAAAAGAGTTTACGCTCGATTGTTACCATTAGATCCCGTCGATCATGCCTAAAATAGTACGGTGACCGGCAGGATCCTGCCGATGTCATGCGGGCGAGCCACTCCCTCCTGCAAGGAAAACAAGTCATACAGTATTCAGTAAGCCTGGTGAAAACTCTCAGAAAAAAATATTACAAGCCAAAATATAATATTCCGAGATAACCTATGATAGTGCGGCAGGATAGGGCTGCCGCGGCGTCACACTAGCGTGACGCCGCACCATTGTCGAGTCACACCACGTGGGACCCATGCCGGCAATTCCTCCTCCTCCTCCACCCCAAGAAAATAGCGCGGGGTTGGGTTATATGCCGAGCGCTGATGTATGGTGCAGTGTACTTAGACACCACATGTTTTGTACAAGTATTACTGGTCATGCAAAAGTTTTCTATTTCCTTATTCCTCTGGTGGAAGGCTTCTATTCGATGGTTAGAACAATCCTATCAGAGGGATAGTTTCCATCCTCAAAGCTGGTGAAGATTTTTTTTTTGAGATTTCAATTTGGCCGATCTTGCTAAGCGCACATCCCAAAATAGAAATTATATTCAAAAAAATGTTTAAAAATCAGGAGAAAATAGGAAAAATCAGAAGAAATCAGAGAAATTGATCAAATTGAGTGGCCAACGTCTCCGGGACCCGTTGGTGAGAAGTATACTTCTTGGAACTGAATTCTCTAACTTTCTTCTGTGCTTCCTAACTCGAAAAATTCTCAAGAAATAGATTATTTTTTGGCCCTGGCCGATTTGGCCGTTGTACAAAATAGGCGGTGACTAAGCGCGCTGCACCATAGAAAGATTCTGAAGCCCATGCAAACAGCTTTGTCAGCTCCACCCACAACAGCCCCTAACGTAGCACCCACAACAGCCCAACCGACATCGCCCAGCCTCTCCGGCCTCATGCCCACAAAAACTCAGAAGCAAATACTTCGTGGTATTCTACTTCATAGAATCTCAAGAGCTTCCCGAGATTTGTTGTCGGAGACGGACATTTCTTCCTCTCCATCATCACCTCCCTGTCGTCAGTAATTGTCCTGTGTGGTTGATAAGGATGGTGCAGTGATGTTGTAAAGCAGGGGACAAACGGTAGAGATGGGTGGTCCAAGGAGCAACGGAATGGTGGGTTTTACTCACCCAACTAGTCTTCTGTATCATAGCGGCACTCAGGGATGCTTACAGTCCGCCACCTCTGCCATATGGCGTGCCAAGACCACCTTCGAGAGACAGAGCAGCTGTTGTGGCTGGGGATGCTTATGGTCCGCCAAGACCACCTTCAAGAGACGGAGCAGCTGTTGCGCCCAGGGATGCTTACTGACTGCCAAGACCACCTTCAAGAGACGGACCTGCTGCACAGCATGTGTACTATCGAGGACCGACTGGTGCTTATGCTGTCCCAAGACCACCTTCGAGAGACGGAGCACCTGCTGCACAGAATGCCTCCTATCTAGGGTCAGCTGGCTTCCACCGTACGTTGCTGGAAGAGGTCCTGATATGCACATGAGCCATTACTATGATAGCAGCAAACGTCATCAGGGATGGGTGAATATGCTTGGCATCAGAGCGTCAGGCACCAGGTTGCATACACACATCAACACAGGCCAGGCACTAGTATGGAGGGTGCTGAGCCTACTGGTGTTATGGACGAACAATATCAGGTTTATTGGGGTGGATATTATGATGTGCCAATTGCTCCATACACAAATGAATATGGGCCTCAGGTGAGTATCACTAGATTGCCTGAGCAGTCACACTAAAATTGAACTCAGTGAACGGCGATCCAACCCTGTGAACACCCTTTCTATGTCTGTGTACAATGAAAGCCAACCGGGCGCATATTAGCAGGATAGCGGACATAATGAGGCGCAGAACGCAGGAAGTTGGGGGGAGGCTAGATTGTCACCTGTGCTTGAAGAGTCTAGATATGACAGCGGTTATCAATGCACTTGCTGTGCCTACAATGAGATAATTAGAGAAAGTATATAAAGAGAAAACTATCTATGTAAATATTCTGGTCTTAAAAACTTAAAACCGAAAACGCTAGTGTGTCCATCCCAAGTGGTAATGGTGATCGAGCAGCTGCTCCATTGTTTGGATTGTTGCATGAAGAGACAAAGAGTCTAAGTCGAAGGGTGACCTGAAGTTGAGATGCTCAGAGTATAGCTGAGGAGCTGTTTTCAACTTTGCGCTGATACTTTTAATGCAAAGGACCTGCTGAATATGGCGTAGAAAAGGAAGCGGACACAAGCAGTTGTTCACCCTACGATGTAGCTCGCTGGAAACTAGTTGGACAGGTTCTGGTGACTCGAGCTGGTGGGCATTGGAAAATTGTCTGCTCAGGAGTTTCGCGCAGCTGCACCTGACGAATACGTTGAGTGAGCAGGTGGCTGCGCTGCCACAGCAGCTGCGTTCGAATTTGGGGAGGTGCCAAGACGTCAACATCTTGATCGAGGGTATATAAACCATGTGTCGGGGCAGCCAAACGCACCTTCGCAGCTCCTCCTCCGCTCGCGAGGCCTATAAGATCCATGACATCAATCGCCTAGAATGCTCCTACTGGGTCGGTTACGTGGGGTGAGTAGCCTGAAATGCAGACACCAACCCATAATACAGTGATCACGGCCAACTGCGAAGTATCCGAGTCTGGATTAATCTCATAATATGCATGGGACTTCTTTACGAAGCCATCCTCAATGATACACAGTAATGATTCACTCTGAATGCCCAATCATTTAATTCTGACACCAAAGACCGAATCTCCAGTTGGACCCCCCTGTGAGCCGTTGCCTTCGTTGACACGTACACCGTTCCAGCCAGCTACTAAGTAGTGGGTGAACTCGACCCACGCTTCAGCAGACACACGTGGCGAAACGGTATTAGGCTTGTCTTCCACTCCAACCGTTAGCAAGTGGTAAGAGTTCGACTCCCTTCGTGTATACCTTTTTTCCCGATATTTGGCAACATTAGTTCGGTCGATTCACGTTCAAGTTGTCCATTAAGAAACGCGATTTTTCTACAACTCTTACAAAGTCATTGTTTCGAGGTGATGCTGGGGACGGTTCCTTCATGGCCGGTAGTCTAGAGGTCTCGGTTCGATATTGACGCAACAATAATATTACCATCTTCTTCACCCAAATTGGAGGAATATAGCGAGATAAAAAATCCATTGGCATTGTAAAGGTGCCTTCGATTACGGATCCTCACCCGAAGTCAAATGATGATATTGTCATAGTTCGATCGGGGGATACTACTTTTGAAGGATACTTCTAAGCATGTGGGCTGGAAAATCACGTGATACGAACGGCGCCGCATTTTCATATGCACATCGCAGCTACTTCATAAGAGGAATACAATTGCTCATTGCTTGGGGATATTTGCTCTCGAATATCTTCACCCTCTAACGCAACGTCGCGAGGAGCGTGTCTTGGAATCTCGCTGAAAAAATGTTTGGGATGCACTGTGACCCCTTGAGTCGCGATTAAAAACGTAAGTACCCGGAGTGTCGACAAATGGAATCCGAACTCAGGATGTTGAGTAGGTTTAGCACTGCAGCCAACAATTTCCAAAGATTCCGATATGGTGTAGCGGCTAACATTATCGCCTCTCATTGGAACGCGACACTTTCACCCCGCCACCTCCTTCCCCAGGCTACAAAGTCGGCGCTGAGATCATGGCCCGGGGTTCAATTCCCCGCGTCGGAATATTCTTATTCTCCTTGCGTCAACTCCGGACAGACTGCCCAAAGACAAGTCCTAACTCGAACACCAGCGTCGTAAGTTGAATGTTGACAAGGGTTTTCATGCGCGTTGAAGCGGATAGTTTAGGCGGTATATGGATATCGAATGCATTAGTGGTCTGAAGGATATTTCGTCTCGGATCGCATGAGATGAAGAATAGTTGGCATGAGAATACGACTTGATTGCTCTAGATGTATAGTCTCATATGCAGCGTAACGTACCAACGTTATCTGACAGTGGTGATCAATATGGAACGACAGCGAGGTTACGGACATAATGCACCTAAATCTAATCTCCTACGTCCACACAGAATGCGCACTGTCGTGTCCATCCTTCAAAAAACTAATTGTACACATCCTGCCACATCCTCCAATGAAGTGTATAGGGTTTCAAGGGTGCATTTGAGTCTGGATTCTGGATTTCGTTCTGCCCACGGTATGACGCTACAGGGTAGTTTTCACACTATGAGAACAGGATGAATTAGCATAGAGGTAACAACGACTTTCAATGTTGGTATTTCACCTATGAATCGGATTAAGAACACTGTGATGGCATCATGGCTGTGCGCTGGTACATTAGGTATAAGGATATGCGACAGCCTGCGGAATACGGGCATTCTCCGACAGAGAGACACCATTTCTTCAACGCTGATAACGTAGTACAATACTCTGAAGTAGTACACATACAATTTGACACGTTATCGAAGATCGTTGGGGAGATATAGCAACTGGGCGATATTGTAGGAAGAAGACTGACACGTCCATAGGCACCCACTACCCTCCCTTTCCGGCTGCACGGGACGCAGTATTTGGCGTTGTTTGGACTGCGCGTGAAAACCCAGCCAAAACCCAGCCAAAACCCAGCTCTCACGAAGTTCTCAGCACTTTAATGTTCAGGGGTCTCAGAACAAATCCGAGAAGCTGCGTATCGTAGCACGACGCTGAAACTTGTGATGGTTCGCGTTGGATAGCTCTCAGGTGGCTTGAACGGAAATTTGAAAGCCCGTGAATGGTTCCCATCCCTCGTACGAGCTCTGGTGGCCCCGTACCAACGCAGAACATACAATCGAGCATCATACCCATTACTGCCTTTCCATCTTCCCTACTATCCATACCGTTTCTAAACATATCCTCCAGACCATTAAGCAGCGCTGGGTTAATCTTGAATCTTAATCTTGAAGCTTCTGCAGTATGGAAGTCGACAATGTTCAAGTCCTCTGAGGCTCGTGTGAGTATCCTCGTGGCCATCCCGACTTCAACCTCAACCAATGGTGACCTCACCCTTAGCTTTGACACTAACCCTCAGCAAGAATGAATTATATCTGTGGTCGCGCTGTCCTCGCCCAAATGAAATCGCTTTTAGTAAATTCAAATCCAGTATCTATTCCTTGGCAGGCACACTTAACATATCTAGTGTGGGTCTACTATCTGGGATTCTCGAGCGCCCATTGCCAACCTGCACCGTGCCGAAGAACACACAATCCAGGCACAGAATACACTCCTGATCACCGCAGAGGCACATATTCTTTCGCTCTAGTAACCGCGATCCGCAAAGCCAAGGAGATGGTCTGAGGGTAACTGAGGGGAACGGGGAAGGCTATAGTAATCCTGCACAGGTTGCGCGAATGACGGTCAAAATGCCTTTTGGGGATTTTATTTCCTTTCAAGTCTGGTTGACCAAACCGTCCGGAGTTCATCGAAATGAACTGGAAAGTACCGGCTAAGTCAGAGAAGTCAGAGAGACTGTTTCACGCGCAGAGGCAACATTCAGGGTGCGAACTGTCAAGTCAAATCCAGAAAGAATCGCCCGCAGATGCGGTTCCTGCTTCTTCTCGTCCATTGGAAGTGTAGAAGGTGTGCGACCATCGATGCCGGACTTTCAGAAGAGACCCTCTGGTGGTGTTCAGACAGTTCCGTACACTGGACACAAAGTACAAGTCATGATAGAAGCCGTTGTATTACGCAGAGGTAACATTCAGGGGGCGAACTGTCAAGCCAGATCCAGAAAGTATCGCCCGCAGATGCGGTTCCTGCTTCTCCTCGTCCATTGGAAGCGTGGAAGGTGTGCGACACTTGATTCTGGGACTTTCAGACGAGACCCTCTGGTGGTGTTCAGACAGTTCTGTACAAGTCATGGTAGAAGCCGTCGTATTTCGCAGAGGCAACATTCAGGGTGCGAACTGTCAAGCTAGATCCAGAAAGTATCGCCCGCAGATGCGGTTCCTGCTTCTCCTCGTCTATTGGAAGTGTAGAAGGTGTGCGACACTTAATTCTGGGACTTTCAGATGAGACCCTCTGGTGGTGTTCAGACAGTTCCGTACACTGGACACAATGTACAAGTCATGATAGAAGCAGTTGTATACACTGATTTAAGTTCCTTCTATCCTTAATTATGTATACTCCGTTGTCTCGGGAGATCTGAGAGTCTTTAAAAGACTCAGTCCTACCACAAGGACGGTTCAATATCCACAATGTTTGGACTTCAAGGTAATTAATTCAACTACACACTTAAAGCCTGTTCGCTGACATCGTATTGATGCAGTCTCTGCTAGTACTCTGCTTGCCTTCGCAGCAGTGGCTTTGAACGTGGTTTTGGGCAACTCCATTCCGCACGAAAGTGAGTGTCACGACATATTTTTTTCTTATTACTTACGCATCGATCAAGGCCGTTCTGAGTTGACCACTCGACAAACGAATCCACCCCCGACCTTAGTTCCGGCAACTTGGATTACTACTACAAACGGCTTGAAATCCCCTGCAGCCTCAAGTGCATACCGTGTTACTATTCAGCCAACTGTCACCCTTCCGACAGTTAATATTTCGGTTGCTATTAGTGTGGACAATGCATACAACTTGTACTTCAATGGCACACTTATCGGGAGTGGATTGGATTGGACGACTCCTCAGCAGTGGAATATCCTCAATGTTAATGGAGCGGGACCATTTGTTTTTGTGATACTTGGTCAGTACACCTCTTGACTAGCTTGTCTTTCTTGCAATATCAAAGTTGTGGTCTGACTCGAATATTTGTTTCTCTTTTCAACAGCTACGAACTATAATGCTCCGGTTGCTGGTAATCCGATGGCTGCAATTGCCGGATTTCAGTTCATAAACGCCGGTGGGATTGGATTTACGTCGTTTACCGGCTCTGAATGGAAAGCGATAACACCTGTTCCTATTGGTTTCGAGCAAGCTGACTTTGACGACTCGGCTTGGCCCGACGCATTTCTTATAGGACCGGATGGTGTCGCGCCGTGGGGTCTATTGCCAACTCCGATTGACAGCAGTCTGTGCTAAACTTCTAGCTGGCCTGAAGACCATCTATAACATAACCATCTATAACATCACACGTTGTTCCTCCGTATCTTGACCTTTTTCTTTGTGGATCTTTTAGCTCTTTGTGTGCATCTTTTTTTTCTCCCTCTTTGGACTTGATCATTTTGTCGGTCCTTTTGAGTTTTGAAACTTGTTCGTTTTCTCATATGAATTATTGTTTTTTCTTCTTTTAGTGTGGTCATTTGAAAAAAACTACCATTGATTTAAGTGTGTAATATCAACACGCCAATTAACAGAACAATGACATCCGGAAAGGTAGACATACCCTCCGAAGAATTGGTGGACAATTTAAAGGTTTCGAAAGTCGCAGATCGTCTTGGGGGGAATAGAACGACGTCACCATCGACCTACATCCACGTCTGAGCTATCTCTGTGAATTCAAGCGGATAATTTCATTGAAAACCGAAGGCTGTGTTTGAAGCCTGAAAAAGCCGTTGAGAAAACCAAGGTATGTAGTTTATGGTGTCTTCTAAGTCCTTTAGCTGTTGATGTGTAGTTCGGAACCTCCTGGTGATACTCACTTATGGGTGTTATACCGGATTGAGCTCAACACTAGCAGTAGGGGTTACCTAGAAATGCACAAGAGAAGCTAAAAAGGTCTTTTTTAAAACCTCGCAAAGAGATCGCGTTATTGGCTACTGACCCTCCGGCGGCCGCCTCGTTACCCAATGTGACGAAAATTGATGCTCCTCCATATGGATTTACAGAGACGGCTAACACGTCCTTGGAGCATGATCGATGTGCGGAGACTTTAAAACTAATGGCAACCGCAATTAGAAGAGCAAGAATGTAGTTGGATTATTCGTTTAATCCTAATATTCACTTTTTAATTCTAGTTTACATTAGTATATATATGTATTATGCTCAGAAGGGCAGGGGGACAGGGCGTTATGAGTCTCATTTATACAAGGGTGGTCTGTGTCAATTCTTATTAGTCATCCTTGGACCCCGAGCAGAGTCACGGTGCCGCCTACTTTTGGGCTCCTTTAATCTCCGCCCAGAATCTGCTCAACCTTGGGACTTCGCCCGACGTTAAGCGTGTCCACTACAGTAGTCCTGTGACCATGGAACAGGTTGCGCCTCAATCCGATTATCCGCTTCTGTCGAGATCTCTCTCCGACACGGCAACCCAGTGAATCGGATGCAAAAGATTTGAAAGGGGGTCGTACTTGTCGTCTTGGTCATAAGAGCCTCGCAAGGTGTCCTGATGGAGGGTGCTTCCCCATTGGCAGGGCCGTGACGGGACTGTGACGTCGACGGGGGCAAAGGGAGGATCATGACGGCATGTGACGTGATAGCTGGCCATGACGACAGCGCCGCTGTCTCCTTAACTTGTCGTTAACATGTCTTCAATGCACAATAGAGAGTCGATGTGGTATTTGCACGAGGTGTGTACATTCCTTTGCGTGTGGTTACGGTGGTGGAGGAACTAATGGTCGTATGATAGACCGTTAATGGTAGATACCTCTTTCCTTTGTCTCTTCTGGTTCGTATTGAGCATGCGATGTAGGCTCCAGACCCACATTGTGCATCCTGTCGCGGCATATTCGCCGGAATGGTATGTCCTGATGCTCTACTTCCCACCTCTCCTGCGAACCTAAGCTCCACCCGCTGTAGATCGAGAATCAG